CAAGGGAGGTTAATGTAATTTAACCAAAATTGAATCTATTGCGGGACTTGAAATTCAAGATTTCCCTCTTGATTTGATGTTTTGATTTAAAATGTTAATTCGAAAGAACGAAGTTAATCAGTCACCTGTGACACTTGAATAGACACCACACTACCAGTACAAGCACGTGACACCGTTCGCTCCTTTCTATTTTCACGTGTCAAACTAATATTTCATTGGTCCGATGATTTAATAAATGATTGTTTTAAAATAACTTAAATATGTATATTTTTTTTAAGTTTTTACAAAAAAAGGTAATATGCCTAAAAAAGATAAAAAATAAAAAATGTCTAATATCCAACTTTCCAAACTATCCCTAATTCACCTCAGGGTGATAGAATAATTTCCTTCTTCACATATATACACACTCCCTCCTACCTATAAGTGTATTTAATTTTCATCAAATTATTCGTTAAATTTAAATTTCATAAAAATTTTAGTGAAAATGAAATTTAATCATTTTATCAAATTATATCAAAATCAATGAGAAATGAATTTTTTTTTTATCATTAAGGATGAACCAATTCTTTCACTAAATTTTCAATAAGTTTTTTTTTTTTTTTTTTTAAAAAAAAAATTTGATTCCGTCTCAAAATAATAGTCCCTTTTGAAGAATTTAATTTTTTTAGTAATACAATTATTACATTTAATTTTTTTTTTTTTAAATTACCCTTTGATAGTACAGTACATTTTTTTGGAAATATCAATTGTCATAATTGTACTTTTTGTCTTGTTAATGAATTTAAAAGAAGGACAAAAATAAAAAATTTATATTTTAGTCCTTAATTTTTGAAAATAACTTATATTTTAGGACAATAAAAAAAATAAATAAAGAACTAATATTTTGAGATGGAGAGACTAATAAAATTTAAGATATAAAAAATCATTTTTTTAGAACTTTTGATAAAAATTTATAAAAAATTAGAATAACCCATATCAAAACAAATTTTTTATTCAAATTTAAAATCAAATAAAAAATTTAATAAAAAGATTGGAGATGTTAACTAGTATCTATTTCTTGTCAGATTTCCAAAATTTTCATAACTCATTTCTTAATTAAATTCATTAATCAACTTTTATTCTCTGGAAATTCAAAATTCTCCTCTCTCTCTCTCTCTCTCTCTAAATGCATATATACTTGCATACACATACAGGTATTCAGTGGAATTTCGATATGCTATTGGAGTTGTTGCAATGAAGGAGAACAATATTGAAATGGAAAGCTTCAACTGATTGATATTTCTTCAGAAGATGATTTTCTTATTGCTTCTTATTTGCGCGATAGCTTTCAAGACTTTCGACTTTCAGGTTCTCTTAATCTTCCTTCTTATATGTATTTATGTTCATATCTAGTTTGTGTTTGTTATCTCGGTTATATACAATTGTTTATAGGTTTCAAATTTCCAATTCATTCTAAAACTAAACGAAGGTTGGGGTTTGAGGATTTATTTTGATGTTTGTTAATTATGAAAATCTTGATGAAGCTGATTTTATGAATTGTGACATGTTCTTGTATGAAAGGAACAGCTTTTCTTGATCTCAATTGGATTGTTTATTTTTTATTTTTTGGAAAATCTTATTGGATTTTTGTCATTTCCTTAAGTAACTGTGTGATTATAGGGAACTTGAAGGGTTAAGTTGCTTGAGGGTATTAATAACAAAATCAAAGAATCCAACTTTGATTAGATAGTATATTAGTTTCTACTTGTATATATATATATATATATTCTTCAAAACCTAACATTGTAGGGTTTGGGAAAGATTCTAGCATTCACCCGAACTTCTTCCCCCTAATTTAATTCGGATTTCGGAGTACCTCTCCTATAGATTTGACATTCATTGCAACCTATGAAATACGGATACTTCTAGATGAGAGTTGCATTTGTATCGAATATCAATACTTCTCAGATACTAGCATAAACCTATTTGATACCTCTTAAATGTATCTATAATTTGAAATTTATTTTATTTTATTTCAAACAAGTACTAAATCGGCTATTCAATTGATCCTAAAATCAGAATGTGTGGAGAATTGATCTAAAAGAGAAGATCAAAAAGTTTTGAGCAGAACTAGAAGAGAGAAGAAGAATACAACAGTCAAAACCTTAATCTCACAAAAACGGCCACAACCTTTAACTACTCAATATTATTATCTCAAAGCTAACCTAAAACTATTACATAGACCCATATATATAGGCAACGTAGGAAACCCTAATTAAAAATAACAAAGTAAATCATGTCATTATTTGGAAGCCTAATCTGTAATAAAATAAGTAACTAAATATACTAAGGTTTTAATTAAATTATTAATAAAACAAATAAATAAACATAAATTAAAAAAAATGCAAATAAATAAATAAATCCACATATCACGTTCTGCATCGTCTAGATCATGTGTCTAACTTATTTTGAAAGTTGAGTATTTCTTGCATAGCATAAGAGCAATTGTTAGGATAAATGCAAGAGTAGTTTCCAGGTAAGAAGAGTTGGGAAACATTGAGAATAAAGTATGTCAAATTTGGTCCAAGTTCGAGTGGACATAATGAACCCTCAATATATCTTATATGAATATATTATCAATATTAATATATAAGGGGGCTCATTTTGGTGTTGATCATGTACTGAAGTTGTGTATTATTTTCCTTCTATCAAGTTATGGGCAATCATCAAAATTCTCACAAACTCCTTTCCACTTAGAAACATTAAAATCAACTTCCCACAAATTCACATCCTGACAACTTCTCCCGAAATTGCTTTTCACTTGCCAACTTTCTCTTTCAAATCAAATGGTTTCCTATACAAATTGGAGGATGTCTGTGGTGCAAGTGCTATTATGGATCAAGTGTTTTCTTGCTTCTACAAGTGTTGCAAATTGAAGCGTAACATTTTTGCTCAAAGGCCTCAAGGTAGGTTGGGTCTTTGATTAGATAATGATTGTCTTTCAGTTTCTTGTTGCAGTGGAAAAAACAGAGTTGCAAGGTACATCGTCTCTGTGTGTATTATATAGATATGTTTGCTCTATCAAAGAGGAATAGACTTTCCAATTCCTCCAAACCAATTGTATAGAGAAGAAGAACATTCAATTATCTCCTTGGATTTGCTCAGTAATTTTATACTATCACCACCACCTCAGTTTAAATGACATCACTTAAAAGACTTTTCTTCATTTTTACGTACATATACATCTACCATAAATTGTATGTATATGTATAAAATTTATTTTGACTTTTTGTGTGTGATGTTGTGTATGAAGCTTTTCATAGTTACTGTCGCTATATGCTTAGCTAGATGCTAGATGTAGTGATCTATCTGCCTACAATTTTCGTTTCATTCATTGTTATTAATTTCCTATGTCAAATGTGTTACAAAGAGATTAAATAACTTCAATTTGATGATGGTATTATTATTCTATGAAAAAAAAAAAACAAAAATTGATGATATTCTAAACATAAAATTAAATAGAGATTTTGAATATTTTGTTGATTACTTTTTTATTTTTCTTTTTGTCCATTTCTTTTATAAAATTTACTGGGTTGCTGATGTTTTGAAGTAATTTAAAGCATCATTTCTGGTAACATTTCATTTATACCATAAATTTTATAGTTAGAATTGTTTATTGTCTTTCAATGATTTATGCACACTTTGTGCGTGCTATGACTTCTAGTAGTTTGAAAAATAGTCTTCACAAAATTACTTTTTAAATTTATATATGTTTATATATTGTCGTATCCTTAACATAATCCATATCATAATTTTTCAGAATTTGTATCGATGTATCCATATTGTGTCATACCCTCTATCTTGTATCCCATTCCATGCTTTGTAGATTGCAACTAGTCACTTAATCTCTGCCAATACAACACTTTGAATTTTTTTGCGTGCCGTGACTTCTAGTAGTTTGAAATTAAGACTATTTGGTAGACTAGAAAGTCAACACATACTTGATGTGCGTGAATACATCGTAGGGAAGCATTGCAACTCTTGATGGTAGTGGAGTTATATGCGGAACATGGGATTGGAAGTAGAGAGCCTACATACTTCATGGTGGTTATGTAACTGTGTATATAAAATAAGTATGTGACTCTCAAATGATTTGATTAATTATCACCATCTGAATAAATTAATCAATTTTTATTGAATTTTTTCTAGAAATCGAAAGTCAGACGCGGCTTTTCCAAATTAGTGTTTCCTAATTATAGATAAATAAAGAAAAATAGTCTATCCTAACAGATTTATGACAAATTTACTTTTTAATTTATGTATATTTTTATATAAGGTCGTATCCTTTAACATAATCCATATCCTACTTTTTTATAATATGTATCGATGTATCCATATTGGGTCATACCTCTATCTTGTATCCCTCTATCCATGCTTTATAAATTGTAACTAGTCACCTAATCTCTACCAATACAATAGTTTGTACTTATGTCTTAATGTGAGATAACATAAGTATATTGGAAGAAATACTCTTTAATAATCTAATTGTAGGTTATATAGTACGTGAATGATATTTCTCTGCTCCATGTAGGCATGTTTATATTCTAATTCTAATTTTCATGTCTTATTGTTTATCAGTGTTAAGACTAATAATCAATCCATTAGAATAGACTTGTGTTTCTAATTCTTCAGTTACTTTCGGGGATGGGAGCAACATGTTAAGAACCTTAATATTTTACAGTAGTTCCTTTATGGTAGGTCTGAATTTCTGATATTGTTTTATTTGTGAGATATTTCATAGTTCTGCATCATCTTTGATTCTTCCAATTCTTGATAACTAACACATCAATATCTAAAGGACTCTAATTTGCTTAGGCTGCATGAAAAACCATCAATAGATCTTAGTTTCTGCATCAACATTAGGATCAATTCTGCAGTTACTTGAACAGATACATTCTTCCATTTTCAATTTTAGCGTGAAACATTTTATTCTTGAATTCATTTTCACAGTAGTGTTGGAGAAAATAGATGAGCAAGAATGTTTCAAGCTGTTTGGGACCACAGATTCTCGAAAACCTGAAAATGCAATAGAAATACTCGAGCAAAAGGAGCAAAAGCTCTTATTTTATCAATCCACTGAGTTGGGAAGAGCAAGCAACTTGCGCAAAAGTTTAGCTTGGGATAGTGCTTTTTTCACTAGTGCAGGTATGCTTTTACAAGAAATCTGAAATATTTGGTGCCTTCTGCCAATGTTAACTCATTTCATATGATTAGAGCGAGTTAAAATTTGAAGTCATTAATGCTTCATGCCTGATCAGGAGTTCTAGATCCAGAGGAGTTGTTTATTATAAATAAAGGATTTCAGAAGGCTGAAGCTCACCTATTACCCGTAATTCAAGAAGATCTGTGTAGGTGGAGATATGCAGACTCAGAATCTACATTAGATAGTGATGACTTCTCTTTGGACAGCAACCAAAGCACTGAGGTTGATCTGTTTGAAGAAATAAGAGCATCCATTGAGAAATCCAATATAATGTCCAATATTTGCAAGTCAGTTTGCAAATCAGGACTTGGAGAAGCCCACAAACGGGAAACCCACTGTAAGTATATTGCAAATTTAGAACAAATTTTATTGTGAATGGAAGAAGAAATTTTTGCCTGTTCATTTTGTATGAGAATTGCAATGTGATTGCATTTAAGGTATCCCAAAGAGATTTAATGGGTAATCAGGCCTTCCGCTATTGTTGTAGTAGGAAATATTGAAACCTCACTTGTCCTAAATTCTTTTCTTACTCTTAGGCTTAAAAATGTTATATGGTCTCCCTTTTTATGCATCTGTTTATCACAAACCTATGCTCAATATCTATGGTTGCTTCTTTTCAGCCTTGAAGAAACTTGGTGACATCTCTCGAAATAGGGTATGTGTTATTGAGTGTAGTCTTTCATTGTAATTGTTCTAGCATTTATTGAGAAATTAAGTTATCTTATATCTAAATATCAGGTGAAATCCACACTAACTTCTAGAAGGCAAAGCGTCTATATGCAAGGATCAAAAAGAGTCAAGGAGGTTGCCCATCCACAAATTGTCCAGGCATGTGTAAATCGAAGAAAATGAGATTATATAGTTCCTTTTAGTATTTAGTATGCGTAAGTGTTCATCATCTCGATTGCTCAAATTGAAAGGCTGCATTATTATTTATAACTTACAAGTTACAAGTTTGTCCAGGCATGTATAAATCGAAGACAATGAGATTATATAATCCTTTTAGTATTTAGTATGCATAAGTGTTCATCATCTCGATTGCTCAAATTGAAAGGCTGCATTATCATTTATTACTTACAAGTTACAAGTTTGTCCAGCATTTGGTTGTCTAACATGTTGGATATGTAGTCACAAGATTGTGTAAGGAAATGAAACTGTAACTCTAGGATATGAATTAATTGACTCAAATTAATTTGATAAATACAGGATGCTGAAAAGAATGGTGAATTTAATTCGTTTCCTCATAAGTCACCCAAGATATTAGGCAGGATGAGCATGGTGTCGGCAGGACAAAGAAAAAAGATCTCCTTAGGTGCGGACCATGTCAAAATGGGAAATAAAGTTGCAACCCTTGGATCTGGTAAGAACCATCATATAATTTAAAAGTTCCTTTCTTCCACTTCTAATGGAATTTACATCAAAATGCATGGACTGTTACAGGGAAAGGTTTGATAGTATCCAAGAAATATGGATTGGGGAACTCATGTTCCACTAGCTCTACAACATCCCTTGAATCATCATCTTCAGTTTCTGTCACCACCAGTAATGATTCATCAGCTTCTTGCTCTCTATCTGGTAGTGCTTCGTCGTTGAAATCTTCTTCAAACTTGAGAAGAAAAGCAGTTTTCAGGAAAAGTAGACTTGCTGCCTCTGGTTCAACCTCCAAGACTCCTCTCAGGTGCTCACTAGGAGACAAAACTGTGTTGGAAAATCCTGGTTTGTCCACCCCATCATTGTCCATGTCAAACCATTCTTCTTATAAATCACCTGCTAGCTCCATTGATGGATGGTCCTCAGAATTATCATCAACTGCCAACCAAAGCTCCAACTGTTTAGAGGTCAGTTTTCATACCAATACTTCCAGAGGAGCTTGTTTAGGAAATGATGCTACCCAAGCATTAAATTTTCAGAGTTGCCCACATGATGAATGTTTCGATGATCAAGAAAGTCAGCAAACAAGGTTTCCAAATCTATGTCTTGAAGTAGTTAGGGGAACTGCTAATGATCCTGCAAAATCAACCAGGAATTTCAAACCTTCGGGTCTCCGAATGCCATCACCAAAGATTGGGTTCTTTGATGAGGTAGTTTTATTTTCTTCCAATTTATTTAGTTCTATGTTATGAGTATTACCTTGTGAAGTCAGTATTTCAATCAAGTAAAGCTTATTTGCTTCGGCAGGACAAAGCTACGATGTCGACGGTAGGTGGAGATTTCCTGTTTCATTTTGGAGCGCAGAGTGCTTTGCCTAATATCAGTGGGGTGACAAACAGAAAAAGGTCGGATAAACTTCAAACTACTAGAATTTTACTAGAGAATGGGGATACGAAGCTTGGTTCTGTGCAAAATGGAGTGATAAGTCCTTCTTTGAATGCCATTCGCAGATATGCAGCACAGAATCAAGAGCTAGATAAAAATTCCCCAAAAATGTCCAGTACGTCTGCAACCTCGAGATACTTACCAGGGAAAACTTCAAAAGGTCAGACTGATACATCTCTATTGTGCAGAGAAAATTGCTCAAGATCTAGTAAAGCTATTGATGGGGGTCATAATTCAAAAAAACTAGGCCTGCATTCTAGTTTGAAGGCAGAAAGGAAAAGAACAGAAGGGATATTGAAAAATGAAATGGGTGGACAGAGCAAGAGGCCAATGACGAAAGAACATAAAAGGGCCAACTGGTGCCCTCTTGAGAATGATCCTTATTCACTTCATGACAATGAAAAAGAAAACATACCTAGTTTTGAAGATCATGTTAATGGTTTAAGTAGATGTTTGGAGGTCATTGATCTCAATAGGGACACGGTGATAGAGCTTGAAGGGAAGAGGGGTTGCTGTCATTCCCACCTTGGTGACAATTTTGCTGAAAATGACAGAGCCCCCATATATTCATCATCCTTCTCTAAGGGGTACCATTTTTCCCACCAGCAGGTTTCACCAAATATGCTGTCAAAGACTGGACCACTCTCTCTTTCGACGACAGTTGAGTTCATGCCCAGCACAAGAACTCCATTGGCGGACAAAAATTCTGCTCCCATGTAGCAGCAGATTAATTCAGGTTTATAACAGAATCAGAATCAACAGTAGACAAGGCAGTGGAAAAGGTGTCAAAACACTCCATTACATGGCATTGGAGATCAGAATTTTTTATTTATTTATCTGAACCTAGGATTAACATTTCAAGGCATGGGTCTCTGTTCTATATTCTTCTGTGAACACTTCCCATATATTAGCAAATTGTACGATCAAGCTTGTCATTTTGTGTTTTTTGATTGTGCAAGAGTTTAATTGGATTGGAGTTCATAGTACTTGTACAGGAAAATTGTTCCTGAATAAACACATACTATTTGTCAGATCAGATATAATAAATGTGTTGGATTTCTCATCTGTTTTGAGATTTGAATGACCAGAAATTTCAAACCTTCGGGTCTCCAAATGCCATCACCAAAGATTGGGTTCTTTGATGAGGTAGTTTTATTTTCTTCCAATTTATTTAGTTCTATGTTATGAGTATTACCTTGTGAAGTCAGTATTTCAATCAAGTAAAGCTTATTTGCTTCGGCAGGACAAAGCTACGATGTCAACGGTAGGTGGAGATTTCCTGCTTCATTTTGGAGCGCAGAGTGCTTTGCCTAATATCAGTGGGGTGACAAACAGAAAAAGGCCGGATGAACTTCAGACTACTAGAATTTTACTAGAGAATGGGGATACAAAGCTTGGTTCTGTGCAAAATGGAGTCATAAATCCTTCTTTGAATGCCATTTGCAAATATGCAGCACAGAATCAAGAGCTAGATAAAAATTCCCCAAAAATGTCCAGCACGTCTGCAACCTCGAGATACTTACCAGGGAAAACTTCAAAAGGTCAGACTGATACATCTCCTCTATTGTGCAGAGAAAATTGCTCAAGATCTAGTAAAGCTATTGATGGGGGACATAATTCAAAAAAACTAGGCCTGCATTCTAGTTTGAAGGCAGAAAGGAAAAGAACAGAAGGCATATTGAAAAATGAAATGGGTGGACAGAGCAAGAGGCCAATGACGAAAGAACATAAAAGGGCCAGCTGGCGCCCTCTTGAGAATGATCCTTATTCACTTCATGACAATGAAAAAGAAAACATACCTAGTTTTGAAGATCATGTTAATGGTTTAAGTAGATGTTTGGAGGTCATTGATCTCAATAGGGACACGGTGATAGAGCTTGAAGGGAAGAGGGGTTGCTGTCATTCCCACCTTGGTGACAATTTTGCTGAAAATGACAGAGCCCCCATATATTCATCATCCTTCTCTAAGGGGTACCATTTTTCCCACCAGCAGGTTTCACCAAATATGCTGTCAAAGACTGGACCACTCTCTCTTTCGACGACAGTTGAGTTCATGCCCAGCACAAGAACTCCATTGGCGGACAAAAATTCTGCTCCCATGTAGCAGCAGATTAATTCAAGTTTATAACAGAATCAGATTCAACAGTAGACGAGGCAGCGGAAAAGGTGTCAAAACACTTCATTACATGGCATTGGAGATCAGAATTGCTGAGTTCTACTCATGAGTCTTGTGCAAGTATGCCTACAAGGTACGTGCCTTTTTTTTTTTTCCTTCCTGAACCTAGGATCAACATTTCAAGGCATGGGTCTCTGTTCTATATTCTTCTGTGAACACTTCCCATATATTAGCAAATTGTACGATCAAGCTTGTCATTTTGTGTTTTTTGATTGTGCAAGAGTTTAATTGGATTGGAGTTCATAGTTCTTGTACAGGAAAAATTGTTCCTGAATAAACACATACTATTTGTCGGATCAGATATAATAAATGTGTTGTATTTCTCATCTGTTTTGAGATTTGAATTCTAGCGTATGCTTGCACCATTGGATTAACACATATAAACGTGGAGAAAACAATTAAGGTAATATAGAACATCATTAAAGTTGATTTGTCTAGAGTGTCAAAATTATCAAATTCAAAATTACTGCACACACTCAGATTCTAAATCTGATAAAACAGAATAGTTATGATCTGATCGGCTGGAAAACAATGCCCGTTTTTAACAAGAATTTGATATGATGGGTTCGACTTGTACATTATGGCCTCGTTTGAAAATTGGTGTAAGATTTGTGAGTCGACCTGATTCGTAATATTATGAAATTATAACATATTAGTAACTTGGAAACAATGGAAGATATTAATAATGCTATGGAGAATTTATACAATGTTTTATTAACATAAGATATAAGATGAGAATATTATTTCTTATCATTAGACTTAATGCTAACATTCTTGACATCTCCTGTATTTTGTTTTCGTGATCCATGGACTTTTTGCCATGAAATAAGACTATCTATTATATAATGGCCCACATGTGACTTAATTGGATTGCCACGTGGTTTCAGAAAAAAAAAATCAAATAAGTTGTTTGGACAATGTAACTTTTTTATTTATTTTTAAAAATTTTGACAATCAATCATATTTGACTTATTATGTTTTTATTTAAAATATCAATGTCCATAAAATTACTTTATAACAATAGCACAGTTCTTTGTGGAATTGGGATTCTTGCTGTGCTTACTGCTGTGAGGCCCATAGAGGACTTGTCTAGATCTTTTTTGATGATTTGAATCATTTATATTGTAAGATTCGTTGAGTAGATCATTTATGCTAAAAATCAAGTAAATTAGATATCTGTAACCCGATAATAAGAGCACATTTATTTATTTTTAAATAAACGGTTAATATGATTTTAATAATTTTTTAAAAATAATTAAGATGTGATCATGGGGTTATTGATATTCAATTAGCTTAATTTTTTACATGGATGATATACTCGATAAATTTTATAATATGAACGATTTAAATTATCAAAATAGGCTTGAAATAAACCCCTAAAAAGCCTCACAATAGGACTACTGTTAATTTGTTCTCCTTGAACATTTTTAGACGTGCTAAATAATTTCTCTGAAACTTTTCTTTCCCATGCTATGTATTTATGTTTATGAATTTTTTTGTCGTTTATTTTTCTCTTCGGTGGTGCTACATGCATAGTGTACTAACTAGTGTACCAACAATAGTTATATCATTATTATTGACCCCACTCATTATACAAATTACAAATACTAAAAATCTCTTAGATTATGCCACATCATCAATTGATACAATAGTTAGTATATTAATTGGTGCATATAACCTTATTCTTTTCTCTCACTTTAGGCTTAGAATATCTTTCTTTGTTTATAAATTATTGTTGATTATTTATTCTTTAGAACTCTTCTTTCTCATCCTTTATTATCTATGTTTATAAATTTTTTCTTCATTTCTTTTTCTCTCAATTCACTTTTAGAATGTTGTTTCCTCTTTTTCTTCCCTCCACGTCCTAATTTCACAATTCGAATCTTTGTATCGCAATCGAGGTGATGCAAAAGATCTCAAACTCCCAATTTTTAAAGCCACTATCGATTTTGGTATCTAACAACATAAATTAAGGTGAAAAATGACAAATATATGAAAGAGAATTCAAGGCGATTTTGTTATACCTGCCGCCATAAAAATGAACCACTGATAAAATGTTAATTTGTGTTGGACTTTGAGATGTTTTGGTTTGACAAGTTTAATGAAAATGTAAAAAATTTAGTTGAAGTTTCGTTTAGTTTTTGAAAGATGTTTTCTAACTTTGCATTTTTTGCGATTTTTTAAAATCATTAGTCAACCTTTTTATATTTAGAGTTAATTTTTTTAGATACACCTAAAGAGTAAAGTATATGGAAGATATCCAAAAAGAAAAAGAAAAAAAAATCACAAATGACCCCCAAAAAATGTGCATAATTTTTTTTTTCTTTAGTAAGTTTTTTTTTTCTTTTCATATACTTAACTAAAACATAAAAGTAAACTTTTTTTTAAAATTATTTTTAAACTAAACCAAAAAAATTATATCAAAATTCTTGAGGCAAACTAACTATTAAGGCTATGTAAAATACCATTCAATCCGCTAAAATTATCAATTCTCACCAATTCGCCCACTAACCACGGGTTTGTTTGATTTGTGGTTTAAGATTCCGCATTCGAAACCGTCCTGTCCTATAACGATTCTAGTTTAGACCCAGCCTATTTATTATTTTGGATTCGAAATTTCCTTGTCTTATTGGTTTTCAACTCTTTTTCATCTTATTGTTTGTTGGGTTTGGCTATTGAGAGTTTTGGTTGAGTTTGAAACAGGTTTGGAGGTTAGTTTTTCAAAGTGTTGTTGCTCAAAAATTTTCCTATTCGCTCTAGCGACCATACCTACTCTCGAGCTATCTTTTCCAGTCTGCAAAATTACTAGGAGTTTGAATTCTTTGCTCGAGCGGTTACTTTTGTGCTCGAGCGAACTTTTACAGGTCTGAACCACTGGGAAGGGTGCATTAAGTGCTCGAGCGACCTTTCTCGCGCTCGAGCGGTGTCTTCATTGTGTTTGGTCTGTTTTAAGTTTTGTTGTTAAAATTGTGTGATTAAATAATATAAATAGATTCATATTTAGGAATTAAAAATTTCAGAACCAGATATGAACTGGAAATTACAAGAAGATTGAACAGAAATACATTATCAAATAAAATAGCAAAAAGGAAAGAAACCGAAACTTGCACTAGACAGTTTCCTTAAAATAGATTCGCCGCCTCATTGGTGGGGCGCTGGAGGTTCTTTGATGTTTGTTTCCCAGGATATGACGATTAGACCGGCTACAGTAATGCACTTACTGTGTAGCTTCGGTGAACAAAACTCACAGTAGGAAAAAAAACTGGAATTTTGGAAGAACACAAAGATAACAAAAATTCTGGTGTTGAAACTGAAGAAGAAGGGTCTCCTTTTATACACATGGAGGGAGAGAGGAAGAGGCTCCCTTACAACAAATGTATGATTTAATTTCTGCAAACCGATGGATTAAAATCCATCATGAATAGAGGAGTTACCAGCTCTATTATACACATGTGATTTGTGTATATATTCCTGCAGCCCACAGATCTAGCTTGGCTTAAAAAGATTAAAATAGGTAGGCCCAGCTCAACACTCACTCAATCCAGTCTAACAAGCCTCAAGCCCAAGCCCAAGATCCAAGATCCATAATCCAAGATCCATAATCCAAGATCCATGACCCACGTCTATAATCAATGTGGGATAGAAGGTTTTACACCTTTTTCAACACCTCTTTCATGAGACCAAATTAATGAGTCAATTTCTCATTCAACTCTGAATTGTTTTTGGTTATTCTTTTTGTGGTGTAAAGATTTCACTACAAAGAATTTGAACCCACTTTAACCCACCTCAATTGAGAATTGACACCCACTTTAATATTGCATTAAAGTCACTAAAAAATAATTATTTTCCAATAATCCCCCACATGAATAAAAATTGACCGAATAATAACAAATGGACAACGCTTTACAACAAAGACTCGAAGAGAGAGTGCAATGGAATAACTGGCTTTGAACCCTTCTTAGTGAAGTGTGTCGGATTTACTGGCTACCCAGTGAACACGAAGTCTTGAACTGTGTTGTCGTTTATGTAAACCAAGACAACAGACCTCACACTGGTATTACTCTAACCATCGTTCTGTTCTCACTGCTGTGTCCGGTTTGGCCCTAGAACACTAGCCTGGTTTAGTGAGTGGTTTAAAGAATTCGGCCTTGTCAATTCTTATAGAAGCGGCCCCACTTCACACTTACATATGTGACTCTACTTGAGTATCCTGCTATACTTAGCTCAATAGCTCAACACTCTAGAGTCATTAAAAACTCAGCTTAATCTCTACACTTGTAGGTATCACTCATAAAAGAATGACTGGAGGTTTACCCTCGTTAGTGACATACCACCATTACATGTAATTAGGTTGTCCCATTGAACCTAGAAAAATGTATATATATGTACACATCCACGATAGACATGTCAATTTTATGTACAAAAGAAAACATCAGTTAAAACCAGTCAGAAAAAAAAGACCTCAAAACAAAACTATTACATTTGATCACAATGTCAAAAGGGTGAATGCCCCACCACCCAAAAGCCTTCAAGCTTGACTAATAAGAACCTCGAAGTGAGGCACAAAAGTTGACTTGACAAAACAAGGCTCAGGTCGAAGCCGCTAAGTCCGGTCCGGTGCTTGATCACCTACATTTATATATTAAAACAATGAGCTAGGGCCTAGTGAATAACAATTATGTAAAGGGGTTTATGAATGATATCCTTGTAACAATTTCAAATAGTCAGTTCACAAAGCAGTATTTCATACATTTTAGAATCATATGCATTTCAGAGTCATAATGAAATCATAGTAGTCATACGTAATACATCCAATATCAGAATAACACAGCAGGTCATAAAGATGAAGTAGTCATATATGATGGCCATCAATACAGTAAACAGAAGTTCTAAGAATTGGAACTGACAGAGATCTTTGTAGCAGTAACAGTGAACAGTAGTAGCAACAGATGTTATGGATGCCACGAATACAGTTCATAAAATAGGAAAATCATTCATGCAGTGAACATTATCGTTTCAGAAATTGAACTTGATATTATCATTTAGAAAATAATTAGAATTTGAATATAACTTTACAACATTGTTACTCACAGTTGGCTCCTTGAAACATGTGGTTAGGATGTGGCGTTTGACCCACACAGACACATGCAAGCACAACAATTCAAAAATATATTCCATCTATTCAATTGGTTCATAACCTATCCGTTACTTATTCCCTAAAGTGTTCCTGTTCGATCTTCCATTTCTTTTGTGGTCATGAAATGCATATGCATATGAAAAACACTTGAAAACCATGCAAACAGAGGCTTGGAAGTCAAAAAATGGAAAGAAAACAAAATCGAGC